GATGGAAGTGGGAAGGGCTTCCGACGCTGCAGAACTTGGGGCGCCGCATCTGGGGAGCTTGGGAGAGGCACTGCGTGAACAACCCGAAAGTGTTGAAGGTGGGCGAACAATATGGGTCGGAGGATTGCAAGTTAGAAGTACATTTGGTGGAAAGATGGAAAGAGGAGCTACGGAAGCTGACAGGAGCCAAAGGTGCACCAGCAATCAAACTGACGGGCAAATGGTCCTACCAATCTCCGATGGACGGAAACCTGATAGAAGCATGGTGCCGAAGAGGAGGGGACCCGGAGACGGAAGTGCACCGGTGGACCAAAGAGGGAGTGCCCCTTGGCATAAACGTCCCCATCAAGACTTGCAACATCTTCCCACCGGCTTTGAAGGAGGAAGTTCAACGCCCAGAAGATTGGCAAGCTGCGCAAGGCTTGAGGGAGGACATTGGCAACTATGTTTCAGTGAGGGAGCAGGAGGAAGATGCCAAGATAGAAATTGACAGGCTGATCGACAGAGGTTATGCCGTCAAGGCCAGAAAAGGAGAAGTCGAAAGGGCGGGCCTCAAAGGGACGACAATCTCCAAGCTGGGGCTCATCGTCAAGACGAAGGAGGGAGGAGCGAAGAAGCGAAGGATCATAATAGACTTGAGGAGGTCGGGAGGTAACAGGAAAGCAGTACTCCCCGAGCGCTTGATCTTGCCCAGACCCATGGACGCCATAACGATGGTTCGGAGGATGCATGCGTCGAAAGCCGAGTTGGAGAGGCCGCAGGATAAGACCCTGGAGCTGGTGATGATAGACGTGTCCGATGCCTACATGCATTTGGCAGTGGCGGAGGAGGAGAAGGGCCACTGTCTAGCGCCAGCTCTGGACGACGAACATTGGTTGCTGTTCATAGCTCTCCTCTTCGGCTTCAAGACTGCACCGCTGACCTGGAGCCGGGCGGCAGCTTGCGTAGCCCGACTGCTGCAATCGGTGATACCAGCGGAACGGGGAACGCATCAAGTATATCTGGACGATTCCTTGTGGGTGTTGGGGGGCAATGGGCAAGCTGCATGAGAGGAACCACACCTTGTCGTGCATCATCCACACGATGGCAGCGCTCGGACTGCGTTTGTCTCTGGGCAAGGGCGAACGATCAGCGGCTGTGACCTGGATAGGAATCCACTTCAAGCTAGTGGCGCCCGACTACGATCATTTGCTGGTCACGCTCCCGGAAAAGTTCATGGATGAACTCCAAAAACAGCTGGAAGCTTGGGACAAGAAAGGAATGATTGGGACGGCAGAGCTAAGAAAGGGAGCTGGCAGGGTGGCTTGGCTGGCGGGCGTGCTGCCTCGAGCCAGGTGGGTCACCGCGTCGTTGTATGCGACCTTGTACAGCCACGAGGATGACGTTCAGTCAGGGGCGGAAGCATCTCGAAGGTCTCAAAGGAAAGATAGCCGTCCCAAGGACCATCTCATCCCGGTGAAGCGTGTGGAGAAGGCACGAACTTGGCTCCTGTCCTATTTGAAGGCGGCGAAGGAAAGACCGATCCGCAAGTACGCACTGTACAAGAGCGGCAAAGCGGAGGCCAGCGTGATGACAGACGCTTCACCCCTGGGCATCGGAGCTGTTCTTCTGGTGAATGGAAGAGTCACAAAAGCATTGGCATCGCCCATCAACGAGATGGATGCTAAGTTGCTGGGCTTCCAATTGGGCGAATCAAGCTCGCAGGGCATTGCAGAGACGCTGGCGATCTTGGTGGCCCTCAAACACTGGGGTAAGCTCCTGGCCGCAGTGAATGTGGCAATCGGGGTACAATCAGACTCCGTGACAGCGCTGGCACTCACTCAGAAATTTTCAAACAGTAACGCCACTCTGAATTTCTTGGGGGCGGAGCTGGCGGTGGTGTGTGAAGCGCTGGGCTTGTCGGACCTCCTTCCGACGCATCTCCCCGGGGTCGCCAACAAGGAAGCTGACTTCCTGAGCAGACCAAACACTTGGGCAACCACCACCTTGCCGGTCGCCTTAGAGGGCATTTCAATCGAGACGCCCCAGGAAAGATCAGCAGCGTGGTACCGCCTGAACCCGCCAGGCCCCGACACTGCCGACTGGCAGGACGGCGAAGCCTTAGTGGCGGCCTGGGCCTGTCGTTAACTCGATGGCCAGATTCTGAAGGAATCGTTTGAAAAAGGACATAGGAGGCGGCGGAAGAGTTTGAAGGGTAAGGCTGAAGGTCCGGGTTGGTGTGCGACGTCGTCGATCGAGCCGATTCGTGAGTTGTGCGTCGATGCACGAGGTGAGGGCCCAAGGATGGAGTTAGCTCCAGCGGACGCGATCGTCCTACGCCCACAGGAACTCGGTGGGCAGCCTGCAACATGGCTGGCCTATTGGGCTTTCTACCTCATCGTGATCGGCATCTTCGCGCACGTCGTGGCAGCCTGGCTTGGCTGCAAGAAGTTCATAGCATGGTGGAAGACCTCCACACTCCGCGGGGTTACCCATGGACGTGGTGGAGGGCGGAGAAGCCAACCGAGAACAACATCAACGATACCCTGACTCCGAAGACGAGGAGTGGGAAGAACCCTGGGACATGGACCAGCCACGGGACTATCTCGACACGTACCTGGACTGGGGGCCGGCAGCAGGGATACGTCGAAGGTCAACCAGGCCAGAAGAACCCCAACCCGAGCCATGGAGGAACCTACTGAACAGCATGGCCAGACAGAAGAGCCTTCAACTCCGAACTTGCTGGACACACCTTCCACGAGAACTACGGCACTGGAAGGGACTTCAACCAACAGGTCGAATTCTCCGAGGTCGAACTACTCACCATGGAGGGAGTCCGTGAGGGAGTCGAGGGACATGCAGTGGTTGGTAACCAGGAGGCTCAACACAAAGGACAGCTGGCAGCTGTGAGACTTGGAGCGGACAAAAGGGAGGTGCGCCCGGGCGAAGATCGTGACGCAGAAGGCTTTGGACTGAGCGAAGAATGGGGAGAAGAAAAGTTCGATTTCAGCTTTCCACCGGTGCCTCCAATGGAAGTGCTGTCAAGGGGGAGTGAATCAAGCGGGGGATTGCTCCATTTGGTGAAGAGAAGGAGGACTTCGAAGGAGAAACCGGAAGGGGAGGAGAGACTGAAGACGAGTGGCTCTCAGGGGAGATGGGGGCTACATCGCGAACGTGATGGACGCGACGAAGGTAAAGGCTCAGGGATGAAGAAGAAGAGACGGAGGAAGGACATGCCGAAAGAACCGGAGCGAACAAAAGGGGTGAAGAAGAATGAGAAGTGGAAGAAGGCAATACAGACGGCTCGCATCTTCAGGTTGAACCGACCGCAACGAGACAAGAACCTGCAGGACTTCAAGGAGGGTTACTATGCGAACTCCTCGAGAAGGGCAAAGGCGTCCGTGCGCAAAACGGTCAACAAGATTTTGCTGAACCTGGGCACGAAGGGGACAGCAGAACAATGGTCGGAGGAGACACTGGAAAGAGTGGGCGCAGTACTCAAGAAAGCGGACTATAAAGCAGGGGTCACCTACTTGTCGGAGTACAAGCAGATGTTGATCGAAGCGGGCAAGACGTGGTCGCACAGACTACAAAAGACATTCGGACAAGTGGCACGAGCATTGAAGAGGGCAAGGGGGCCGGTGAAGAAGGCGGCTGAAGTGGAGGAAGTTGAGTGGATGAAAGCCTGCAAGATCGAGACGAACGAAGAGCAGAGGGGCTCAGTACACCGACCAGCCCTCATGTTTGGGTTTGCGACCGTCTGGATGCTGCGGGAGGTGGGACTGGCGGCAGTCCACAAGGAGGACATCGTGATCAACGAGAAGGAGAAGACGGTGGCTTTGACCCTGAGGCTCACGAAGTGTGATCAGGAAGCCAAAGGACTGAAGAGGACTCTGCAGTCCTGTTGCCCGGAGGAGTGCGACTGGTCAGAACCCTGCCCTTTGGCGATTTCGAAAGCAGCCTTGGACAACGTCCCGATCGAGGAGGATCATTTAGTACATGGAGACAGCGAAGGTGCAATAGAAAAGAACCAGATCATAGGAGCTTGGAGGAACTTGTTTGGGCAGGGCATCTCAGGGCATTCCGCCAGGAGGTCAGGGGCCTTGCAATACATCAGACGGGGTTGGCGCGTGCCCCAGGTGGCTTTTCTGGGAAGATGGAAGAGCGACGTGATCCTACAGTATGCGGAAGAGGCCCTGGAAACCATGCCGGTGATGAACAAGGCGGTCAACCTAGCAGGTTTGAACCCGGGAAGAGGAGGAAATGAACGGGTCGTGGAGAAGTTGGTGGTAACGAAGGGCGAAGAACAAGGCAAAGAAACGGAGAAGAGGTTGAAGAAAGAGCTGGACAGGTTGAAGGACAAACAAGATCAGCTCGATGCCTCGATTTTGAAGTGGGAGGAGATCTCCAACAATCATCAAGGCCTACTACCACCAGTCATCCTCTCGAAGAGTGGAACAGTACATGAGAACAAGAAGCAGCCGGTGGCCTCACCCGTCACATCTTGGCATACGAAGTGTGGTTGGTTCTACGAGGCTTCGGTGTTCACTTTCGGGATGGACGTGACGAAGGTGAACTGCCTGAAATGCACCTCTTCTGTGCAGAGCACGGAAGAAAGATTTGGCAGAGGAGGTGCATAGCTGATAAAATGAAGACATCCGCATCCAGCAGCGGTTCAAAAAGAACGTCTTCGTTATCTTCCCTGGGTGGTATGGCCCACGTGTTGTCTGAGAAGAAAATGGAAGAATGGAATTTTCTGGGTGACAACCCTGAGTAGGGCCTGGGTGGGGACAGTGGCTTGATGCCATTTTGGCTCAAGTCCCTATCCCTGCAAGGTCAAATGGCTTTGTTTTCCCACCCACCCTCACCAAAGAAAGATTTGGCAGAGGAGGTGCATAGCTGATAAAATGAAGACATCAGCATCCAGCAGCGGTTCAAAAAGAACGTCTTCGTTATCTTCCCTGGGTGGTATGGCCCACGTGTTGTCACATGAATATATAGTAATAGTAGTTGTGCCCGAGGCAGCATCTCAAGTCCATTGACATCTATAGCCTCAAGGTGATGGGGTGCCAGGCAGTTGCCAACTTTCAGAATTAGGGCCAAGCGAAAGTCAACTGCAGAGGCTCAGTCAGCGGCCAGTGCAGCTGCACAGGCAGTCACAGCTGGTGCCTGATCCTTAGATTGGCAGCGGTAGGCTCATACTCATACCATCAGCTTTGCACATTGCGGGGGTCTCAGCTTGAAGCTTTGTTTGCCGATGGTGCCTGTGCTTGCAACATGCAAGTGGACTTTGTTGAGAATGTTCTTGGCGCGACATGTAGGAAGTGCCTGGGTCTAACAAACATTTTGAACTAGTGCACTTAGCGGATGAAACTTCTCGCTCAAGGCCCATGTTTGCATTTGTTCTCTGATGTTTCTGTCCTGTCAGATTTTTTTGGATTCCAACTCTTCCAGCAGTCCTTCATAGTTTCTGGCGCCCACGCAGGTTTTCGACCAACCCTTGTTGCTCAACTTGTTGCTGAAAGAGTGATTGTGAAGCGGTGTGGTCTGACACTTCGCTCTGGGCCAAGGGTGAAAACCTTTTGGCGGTGTGACCTTGGCATCCTCGAGATCCTTCTCTCGACCCTTAAACTGCTCTGTTACGAAAGCCCGCCTTCGTAGAAGGCGCCAGCTGAGTTGTGCTTGGCGAACGAAGTGAGTAGTTGGGGGGTGGCCCGCAAAAGGTACACGTAAACTCGGCGCATGCTGGGGGAGGAGGGTGGACGGATGGAAGGTTTTTTGAGGTTGTGTTGGAGGTGATTTTTGAGGGGTGGTGACGCAAGAAATGCAATTTGCATCGGTGTAGTTGGCACCTTGCCAGGTATAGACACCCACATTGCTACAGTGCAGTTACCAGGTATAGTACTTCAAGTTCCCTTTCCATCAACGGCACATTGTAGCTACCCTGGGTACGCATAAATGCTATGTTGCTATACCTCTTACACACCTATATAAGTTCAAAGCACGAATGAGACTTCAAAGCTGTGGTTTGCTGTGCATGTGTAAAGGGTTATCGAGCGGTTGACGGAAAGGGAACTGGAAGTACTATACCCTTGCAACTGCATTGTAGCTACCCTGGGTATCTATACCTGGCAAGGAGTAAGAAGGGGGGTTCGGGGGGGTGGCCTGAGAAAGCACACTCGAAAGTAGGTGGTGTGTAGGGGTGCACGGAAGCAAGGTTTTGGAGGTGTTTTTTTTTTGGATGCTTCTAAGACATGCAATTGTCTTCGGTTGGTTGCAGTGCTATAATTGGCAGCTGAATTGTAGCTACCCTGGGCATACCTGGCAACTGCCTTGTAGCTGGCCAGGGTCCGCGCGCGCGCGCGCCTAAATCACGGGCAGCCGGGAGCCAGCAAGGCGCGCGCGCGCGGACCCAGGGTAGGGAAATTGAAGTGGGATACCTGGCGACAGAATTGTAGCTACCCTGGGTCCGTATCAATGCTATGTTGCTATGCCTCTTACACACCTATATAAGTTCAATGCAAGAATGAGACTTCAAAGCAACCCACATGCGTGTGTAAAGGTTATCGAGCGGTTGACGGAAAGGGAACTTGAAGTACTATACCTGGTAAATGAATTGTAGTTACCCTGGGTATCTATACCTGCGCCAGCTGAGTAAGAAGGGGGGTTCGGGGGGGTGGCCTGAGAAAGCACACTCGAAAGTAAAAACGCTGGCTTTCGTTTTGCAGCTTCTCAGGTTTGGGACCCCGGCCTGTTGGCAACCAAATTGCATTTCTCCAGATATTGTACCAGATAAACTTCGGTCAACCTTCTATTATATAGGAAAAGATACAGGGTCTCAAAACATTCAGAGTCTCTCCCACAGATTGCAGTGGCTTACCTTCAGCAAAGGTATACTGTATATATATATATGTGTGTGTGTATATATATAAAAATATATAGAGAGATATCCTTGTTCAGTCATATACTATTTACTGTAGTAGGCCGATGTTTGCCCAAAGTATGTGACATAACTGACTAATCTGTTCTACTACAGGCCAGCGTTTGCTTGAAGCAGCACTTGAGTCATACACCAAGCTTAACGCGTTCACGTTTGACGTGTCATAAGATTGATGACTAGCTGCCCAGAGGTACTGCAAGTTGCAATGACAAAAGTTGACATGGTGTCTCAGGGCATCCTTGATGAATACCAGAGTGTACTGTGGTCTTTTCCGTCTGGCGGCAACTCCAGGTTGCGAAGGGCTTCAGTCATCGACGACATCGGTGTCCCTCAATCCTGGTGACATTCTCTCCACTCTTCTCCAGTGCCGTAGGAGTCAACCGGCCCGCCTGTCCGCCTAGTGTTGCGCCGGGAATGAATGTTTTTGTCGATTGTGTTGAAGAACTGGTTTGTCGTATAGAGCCTTGGTCTTGTTGACAATCTTTATACGGGTCCTGCGCAGCTTCCACGTCTTGTGTGCCTAGTTAGTTTTCGGTCAAAAAGGTTCCATTCTCATCCACGGCCTCCAAGTACGCGCCGTGCATTTATTAACGATCATGATGTTGGCTTGATGAGCCTGTCAGTGCTCGTGGTGCAATCGAGACAAAATGGGCTGATCTTTGGAAACAGGACAAGTCTCTGCATAGTCCTGACGTTTCGTTTTTTGCAAGTCTATGAAGTCAATCTTCTCTACTTCATCAGGTGGGTCAGCTGCTTCTTTTTTTTGGTGTGCCAAAAAAAACGCTAGACGACGGATGGCCCAGGAGCGGGGAAAGAAACGTCATGTAGAAGAGGGTGTGCGTTGTAAGAGATGTGTATACAATACATTTCAGAGTGTCATAGCTGCCTTTTCATGTATGCTACAAGATGCTACAAGTATACGTGCAGCTCGCACGTTTCTGGAGCTGTTGCTACGGATGTAGTAAGATTAGATGAGACGTGGACACCGTCATTGCTCCCGCTGCCCAGCGACACGCCAAAGTTGTGCCAGCACGTTTTGCTTCCCCCAATGGCACGGGCTCACGCAAACACACTTTCCACCTTGGACCCTGCAAAACTGCCTGGCAGCAGCAACATCACAGACGGAATTGTCCACACAGTGTGCAACAGGACAAGATACAACAATGTAACATTGAGCATCATGCCGCCAATCATCCGCCTCCCCAGCAACACGCCGAATTTACACCAGCATGTTTTCTCCTCTCCCACTGGTACGGGCTCACGCAAACGCACCTTCCCTTTGTTTTCTGCGCAGTTACACAATGTTACACACTTTCGCGATCCCCACCTTTGTTTTAGGCGATTTGCTTTGCACACTCTGGCAACCTCCGCCTTCGTTTTTGACGACAGTTTCACGCTTCGTCGACCAAATTTGAGCCCTCGACGCGCACGGGTTCACCGCGCTCGCGAAAAAGTTTGCATTTTGCCTTACGTTTGAGCGCTTGACGCGCGCGAGGGTTCATCCGCCCAAGGCAAAGTTGAATTTCCGCCTCACGTTTGTGCGCTCGACGCGCACGATCTCCTCAAAGGGTTCATCCGGCCAGGCCAGAATTCATCGAATTTCGCCTCACATTTTAGGGACGCGCGCAATCTCCGCAGAATGTTCATCCAGCGCAGCCGGAATTCGCATTTCGCATCGCGTTTGAGCAATCTACGCGCACGATCTCTGCAGAGGGTCGCATTTCGCAAGCCCTGTCCGGCCAGGCCCCCACTTGAGAAAGAAGAGATAAACAGCCGAGATGCGTCACGCACGCGCGAACAATCATATGAGCTACGGCTACGGTCAAAACATGCGAAGACATGCGAAGACCACTTTAGTAAAGAGGGGTAAGTTTGTGCGCAAACCCTGCAAAGCGATGAGGTCCACCTCAAAACCGATAACCCCAGCGCTGTATATGATCATAAGTATGCGACGAACTCAAAACACTGTAAAACGATAAGGTCCACCTCAAAACCGACGACGTCCATTTTTTATCATTTTTTGTTGAAGAAGAATAAGGAGTAAAGACCTTCCCTCATATGAGTTTGATGGGTTTTCTCTATGTTAACATATGTTTACTTTTGCGTATGTCACGAAAGGTAGCCCTTCAGGCTTCAGGGGATACCTTGAGTTTGTCTTGCGAAGCAAGTCACACGTGACTTTGCATATGATGTTACTTTAAGCAAAGCCCGGCGAAAGTTGTACTTGACTTTGCATATGATTCTACTTCAGCAAGATCCCAGGAGTTATCCAGTTATTCAAGCAAGATCCCAGCCAAAACAATCCACCCAAACAAGATCCCAGCACCAAAGCAAGCCACCAAAGCAAGATCCCGGCACCAAAACAATGCTAGCGTGGCATAGCAACAGCTCTACACGATCATGCCTGCAAGGCTGTGGCATACCTATTGTAGCATACAGTATACATACAACTGCAGCTATATAAGTCGCAAATGTAGTCCCACCTCTGCAGCAGCAGGTCTAGAGACCACGCGTGCAAGCTTGAGATGTACTTGTAGCATTTATACAAATGCAGCTGTATAAGTCCCAAATGTATTGATGCAGATGTGTTACGCAAAATATTTCTACAGAAGAGCCCTCCGCAACGCTCCCGGGAACCACACGGAAAGAAAGGAAAAACAACAAGAGGGAGAGAACGGAGGACCGTGTCTGCACGCAGCCATTTCAATATAAACTCAGACAATTTTGGTTGTTGGCTCTTGCACAGAAGTGAGCTTTGAAGGAGGGCCCCCACGCAAAGAGCACAAACTGTTTTAACAACCAGTGGAAACAATTTTCTGTGGAGTTTCATCAGCCACATTCTTGGCACCCGGTGCATTGATTCGGACACCGCCCCCGCCCTCATCCTAATTATCATAATTTGTGTTTTTGTCGCATGGGGCCCGCAAGGGGCTTGAATGAGTCCAAGGGAACGTTCGAATGATTCCATTCCAAAACTTCCTCACTGCTCACTCTTTTGCCCATCAGACATTGATTGAACATCAGGAAAACTCTTTTACAAGGATCGGCCAGAAGTACTCCTCAACAAGCAGTAACAAAGTCTCTTCAACCGCACCATCGGTGGGAATACCGCATGCTGGGCATCCAAACTGCTGGCGTTGTAAATGCCAATAGATTTGCGACCCAGGAAGTGCGAAGCAATGTTTTTGACAAGAGTTGCCGGGAAAACAGAAAAGTCAACACTTAACATTCAAGTCAAGACCGTGATGCACAATGGATGATGCCCATGCCGGTTCGGGGCTGGGGCAAGGTGATGCCGAGCATACCAATGAGGACGCATGAGAAAGAGGCATGGTACCGAGTACCGAGCATGGTTTACAAGAAGAAACGTCATGCAAAACAGCTACAGTATATACGTTACATGTAGACATACTTAACTACTTGGCGGTATCTCCTTCGTTTTGTCTCTCCACTTTGCATGCCCGAAAGGTCCATCACATCAATCTTGTGTCGAGTGACGACCCCCGCGAGCAAGCCAAGACCACCGTCAAACACCCGGCGTTGCTGTACAGTATCTATGTCGCTGTGGGGTTGGAGTGTGCTGCTTGTCTTCCTTTCATTGCAACGCACCCCGGAGTCATAAGGTGACTGGGGCGGCAAGCCAGCCGACATCCCTTTCCAGCCCAGAAACTTAGCCACCAACTTTGGCAAGCGCAGCCGGCGTAGCCGCGTAGCCTGCTGTTCATGTTGGTGCTACCGTTGTGTGGTGCAGAAGTGCTGCAGGTTCCCCATCCGCCAGACAGCCTGGCCCAGAGCACTGTGCCATCCCAGTCGCCCAGATCACCTCTATTGAACCCATTCGTCAGGCCACTCCTCGCAGAAAACCAAGGCCATGGAGCAAGCCCAGGTCTGAGCGGAACAGTTAGAGCAGCAGAACTGGGATCGTAAGGCATCAGCCAGGCTTTAGCACAAACTGTCCTGAACCTGATTGCTGTTGCGCAGCCGGTGGAGGTGTTGGGAGCAGAACACCTTTTTTGTCAGGAACTCCTACTCGGGATCCTAGCTCTCCTGGCGGTAGTCGGCAAGGATCTGAGCATCAAGTAGATATGATAAGCTTGACCGATTGGAGTCTGGAATCAGCTGCCAGCACATTGTTCAACGCTTGTGCCAACTCAATTGAGGCCGTTTGGATTCCGACGGCATGCGATGCCACCCACAGAACGGAGAAAGGCAAGGACTATATATATATAATCAAATTGGGTCTGACCTAGCCCGCAACGTGATGATGAAAAGCAACACAAACATGTTTATTAACACAGTCTCACAGTATGACACGAGCTTCGACTTGCTTGTTTGCAGCGCACACGCACCCTTAGCAACCTTGTGCTGACATTTATGGGGCTCAACCTAGCTACAGTCACTTGCTTCGCAACTATGTCGCCATTCACACCGGAGGCAGGCAGTGCTCAACAAGTGGAGCCTTCCTAAAGAAAGCGAATGAAGAAAGAAGAGATAATAGAGGAAGGTAAGGCACCATTACAGGGGCCTTACTTTCCTTTTTCTGTTCTCTTTTTTACAACTATTTTACATTATGCTTATGCCGCAAATCCGGGAACAAACACATGCCCCAGTGACTGACAGTATTTCCGGCGGCTAGGAACATCGTTCCCAGATCGGTCTTCCCGACAGAGGAAGACGCGTGGTGCATTCGGGACAGGCAGGATCAGAAGGTTGTTCATTAACTTGCACCTCCCTTGTTTCGGGTGTTCACCAGAGTTGGGGTAGGTTTCAAAGACGTCCTTTGTTTGTCTTCGTTCTTTCTAGCCTTGAATGCAGGAATCTACTGTCGCAGCTTGGCAAAATTGCAGGCAATTGCCATGAGGGCGTGATGTTTGTTACACACCCAGGCTGCACACTATTCTTACTCATTATATAGTCTTAGAACTGCATTCAGTCGGCATTGCGCGCAGATTAATCAGGGCGAACTCGAAGGGTCAGGTAGGTGACAGGTACTGTATGTCTTGAGAGATTGTGCCGTGACGCTGTTATGACTTCAGTCTGAGCTTTGCTGTGATGACATGCACCAATGTGTTCCTTTCACGGTTCGATCCTAGTGTTTGGCCGCGGCCATCTCCGTCAAATCATGGTCCTTGAGCCCACTCCTGTGCATTTGTGCTAGGTCTTGAGTCTGGGGCTTTCCCTTCGTTTCTTCTTTTTTAGGTAAGACCTGTGTGACCGAGCTCGTTTGGATCCTTTTTTCCTTCCTTTAACTTTGGGAGCTTGGGAAACGTTCTCGTTTTGGACGCATTTGCATAGACTTCTGTGCTGCGCGCCGTTCGAACACGTGCGGAAGGATCACACTCAAGCTGTAAACATCTTTACATCTCATCCTCATCTAGCCTGGCTGCCCCTTACGACTCAACATCCACACCAGGTAATTTGTAACCGTCTGAAGCTATCCCGTGCCGGACCCTTTCTGGATCCTCTATACACACCGACATGAAACTATTGAGATTTTCACAGATGGGACACGCGATAGACCTGTTGTAAAGCGGCGTGGGCGGACGTTCGCAAAGTTCGTTCCAATAATACTGATCCATCACTGGATGACTTCGAAATTTTGCAGGTCTCTCATGTGAAGGGCAATCAGACTATTAACAGAGGGGAACTTGAATCGGTAGTCTGGGTTTCTGATTTTACTCGCAACAAGTACCTCGCCCACTTGTAGACATTTATGCAGATTCCAGCTTTGTCGAAAAACTTGTTCGTTCCGTGAGCCAGTATCAATTTAATCCTCACCACTATGACTTGGTCCAACGCCTTTGTTTAGCGGGGATGCCAGGTTCTTTCAGATTCATAAAGTTAAGTCTCACCGGGATTCTACAGATGCTCGAAATGTGCCAGACGTATATACCATCATGGGGAACACTTTAGCCGATGAGACAGCCAAAATCATCAATCGGCAAGACCTTCCGACCTTCCAAGAAGCAGCAGATACCATTTCGCTACATAGTGCTCGACAGATGGAAGATCTTTTACGTGTCTATCGCTATTTATGTACACTCAATAGCCTACAATCTACACTTAACATTGAGAAAGAAAAGAAGAACTTCCAGAAGTGGTAGCACAAGCGTGTCCCGCCGGATCACAGATTGCTAAGTGCGTGTGGCAATTCTTTCATGAATTGCGGTGGCGTCACCCAGATTTTGCCAACTTTGAAAACGGATTATGGGATTACATGGTATGAACTTGTCATACATTTTTCGTTTTTTGCAGGGCGATGCATGCCAATCTGGCTAAAAGTTCATGACAATCAACCAGCACATCCATTTGATTTGTCTTCCCCAGAAGTAGCCCTGCAAAAACCAGAAGTGAGAAGTTTATGGCATCAAGCGAATAACTTTCGAAACGTAGTCCAGTATCTTGAAAGTACAGCCAGGACGAAGTTGTATCCTAGATACGCAAAAACGGGAGCGTCAACAATGGTTCGCCTGGGTTTTCATCGTAGCTTGATAGGGGGCATCGCATCGCGTCCGAAGCTGCCACAGCGCGAGCATGCGCGAGCTAGCAATCCAGTTATTGCGTGAGTATGCAACTACACCAGGGCAGCCGTATCCACTCAATTTTCGACTTCCATTTACCCCGAATCTTTCTTGTGCATTGTATGGACATCAGTTGCCAGCAGATATTCCTTTTGTTAAGCGTCATAACCTCTACCAGAGAGTTGAGAAGTGCAGTCGTACTCATAAATCCCTGGATACCATCAGTCTTGATTCATGACTTAGGAATTTACGATCTCCATTTGCCGTGGTCCAATAATTCGCGTTGAGGTTAACCTGGGGATATACCGGGTGATTCTGCGGTTTTCGATGCATGTTTTGTTACAGGTCTGGTGTCTAGTTTGACCTCTAGGACCTAGAGGTGCGTGCGGATTGAAGCGCAAGTTGTGTGTGTGGAACGCGCAATTGGTCTCAATTTGGAACGCGGGCGATTCTGCGGTGATATTTTTTTGTCGGTGCTTTCTTTCTTCTGGTGCTTTTTTCCACTCACTCACCACCACCGCCACCGTCACCACGATCCCCACCTTCATCACCACCATCACCTCTCTGGATCCCAATGCGTCTAGATCTTTAAACTTTCTGCTAATAGACCTCTCACACACTGTTTGGGGTCTCTTGCCGGGATAATTTCCCCAAACAGTGTGGACACACTTAGGGGTTCTTATGGTAGGTGTAAAGCAGCTGATGCTTAGATCGCTGAAGCGCACGGGCGTGTGCGGCTAATTCGCTGCTATTTACAGTACATTCATGCCTCTCGACATCGTCGATGTGCATTTCGACTGCGCAGGCTCGCAGAATCTGGGGGCCAGCGTGGCAGGTGCAGTACTTTAGACATGGTGGTGATCTTCGAGCCGCTCTGATTTCGTGACAGGTGCAGTGAATCGTGACTTTTGGACATGTGGCTCGTTTGCAGATTTCGTGGCAGGCGCACTCTGTGACCCTCGATGTGCAGATTCCGTGGCAGCAGCAGCACTTGTGAACTTTGAAGTGCAGATTTCGTGGCAGGCGCAGCATTTGGTGAACCTCGACGTGCAGGCGTCGTGGCAGGCACAGCACTTATTGGTGAACCTCGAAAGGCAGATTTCGTGGCAGGCGCAGTACTTTGTGAACCTAGAAGTGCAGATTTCGGCGCAGGCGCAGCACTTTGTGCTCTCAGATGCTCACTCTCGTTCTCACCCTCACTCTCACTCACTCACACACGCTCACACTCACACTCACTCTTCACATTCACACTCGCGCTCGCACTCACATTCACTCACCCTCACTCACCCCCACTCTCATCTACACCCACTCTCACTCACACCCGCTCTCACTCTCACGCACACTGGCACTCACACTCACACTCACTCTCTCCGACTCTCACTCTTTCACTCTTTCACTCTTTCACTCTTCACTCATTCACTCACTCACTCATTCACTCATTCACTCACTCTCACTCTCACTCTCACTCTCAGTCTCACTCACACTCACACTCACTTACGGTGATTCGTTTCGTCTCACCCCTACTATAAACAGGGGCTTCTCTTCCTTTCTCCCTACTCACCTACTGACGGTTTGCAGGTACTTCCAAACTCGTATCGTGGGCTTTCAACCTGAATGCGTTGGCCTCCAACCACTAGTATTGGCCTCTAACCTTGGCTGTCTTGGTGTGTCTTGTGTTTCTTGTGTTTTGTCACCAACCTACTAGCGATGTCCAACCTAAGAGCGAGGACCTCCAAATTTGACGGTTTGCGGTTTCGCTTCTTGTCACCAACCTACTAGAGATGGCCCCTCAACCTGCTTTCGACGGCCTCCAACCTAAGAGCGATGACCTCCAACTCACTTGTTTAGTTTTACTCAGGCCTTTTGTACCTAGGTTTCCGGGTAGTGTGTGGCATCCAGCTCCGTATGCATTTCTATAAGTGTGTAGCCCTTGGAGTCAAAGGGATCCCTTCGGATGTGTTGTCTTGAATGTTGAATGATGAGTGGGCGGCTAGCGGCCCATTTCTCGACGCTAGCCAACGAAGCTAGAGAAATGGGTGGATGAATCTGTGGACGCACAGACTTGTACCTGCGATGGTTTGAACTTTTGACCAAGCCGTGACTCTACTCTTCCTTTAAGGGCTAGTGCGCTCTGCAGACTTGAGCGGCCGCCGTCATTTCGACGCGTCGTCCTTTCATGGTGTTGGACTTTTTGGCCTCAAACTAAAAGTGCTCAGGCCCCTTTCACGACTTCTCAGGAACCTGGGTACCTAGGTTGGCGTGTGGCGAGTGGCATTCAGCTCAGTACGCATATCCATAAGTGTGTCTCTCCTCAGTGAGAGCCCAGGGTGAGCCCGAGGAGTGCCCCCTGTGGACCTGTCGAACGGGTTTTTTTTCCAACGTACCCCCTGCCCGGATACAGAGCAGCTCACAGCGAGCGTAGGAGGGTTACGCCAAATTTTGTTTTGCCAAGACCCGATGGACTATTGAAACTAAGTAGGCAGCTCTCTGCCATGAGGTGGTCGCAGCGACCAAAGCTTGTTCAAGATCGATTGGGCTCTGCCCTCCACCTTAGGCCAAATCAGGCAGGTCTTCCTAAGTCTTTCAAATAAGGTTTGGTTTCATCGGTTCCTGGCACCTCCATTTGTTTCTTTCTTTCTTTCGTTCTGTCTTTCTTTCTTTCTTTCTTTCTTTCTTTCTTTCTTTTGC